GAAGGACGAGGGGGGACATGATAGCAGTGTTTCAATATCTCGGGGGTTCCACAAAGAAGAGGGAGTCAAGCTATTTTCCAAGGCGCCTGAAGGCAGGACAAGAAGCAACAGGTGGAAACTAATCAAGGAGAGAAGCAACCTAGAACTAAGGAGAAACTTCCTGACAGTTAGAACAATTAACCAGTGGAACAACCTGCCTCCAGAAGCGGTGAATGTGCCAACACTGGAAGTTTTTAAGAAGAAACTGCCATTTGTCCGAAATGGTATAGGGTTTCCTGCCTGAGCAGGGGGTTGGACTAGATGACCTCCAAGATCCCTTCCAACGTTATCATTATTATTATTATTATTATTACTTGTACATGAAGCTCAAGTCACTCAAGTGGAGGGTGCACACATGCGCGTGACACTTGTACAAATGGAACTCTGCATGCATACGTGTGCCTGTCACTTACACAGCCCCCTCCCATTGCCCAGCTGGAAAGGTTGAGGACCGCTGCTCTACAAATAAAGGTGAATATAATGCGTCTCAGGATAATGTTGCAGGATCCTATCTGGGTTGGTCACCGGGACCAGAGATTTTGTCTTCCAAGCTTTGGGACTCCTGCTGGAGCCCATCCTCAGAACATTTCTCTCTAGGCAGGTAGAGAGAAGTTCCTGGAGGATGGGCTCCAGCACGAGATTGGATCCTGCACCGTTGCTCTAAAACCGACATGCCAAACTTGCAACGTCACATGACGTCGCACGACGTATCAGAGCTTTTTCCCCATTGCCGGCAATGGGGTGGGCGCGGTTTCCTGTTGATGCATCCGGCCCGTGGGCTGGCAGTTTGACACCCCTGCTCTAAAGCAAACTCTTTGAAGAGTTTGCCCTCAAACTCTTTGAATTAGCAATCACTTTATATTTGCCTGGAATTCTATACATGGGGTTCCATATATAGTCCAACTTGTCAGTTACTCTGAAATGATTGGGGTCTCCCCAGTAAAAGCCTGTTTTTAAGCCCCTGCCCCTCTAACCTGTCACAGAGAGGGGACAAGTAGCATTATAATACCTCCAAATTAATCAGACTGGAAATGGGGATCCTAGTTTAATGGGGCTTTTTCGGTGAAAATAAATACAATATTGTACTTCACAGAAAAAAAAACTAATGTTATTCAGAGAAAGGAATGAGAAATCATTTCTTTTGACAGTTTGGGTCACTATGTAAGGATCTCCTTATTTCTTTTTGTTTCCAGCTATCCAAAATCAGAAGTAAATCAATATTCTTCAGATGCCTACCCCAAAGAATGATGATCCTCTTTTAATTAAAAGTTAGCATGTGAAGACCTCTAGAAAATGCTATCTGAAGA